CTCCTGGGTTGGAGTGACTCTCATGCCTCAGCCTCCTGAGTAGCTGGGATTACAGGGATGCGCCACCACACCCAGCTAATTTTTGTAGTTTTAGTAGAGATGGGGTTTTATCATGTTGGCCAGGATGGTCTCGATCTCCTGACCGCATGATCCACACACCTCGGCCTCCCAAAGTGCTGGGATTACAGGCGTGAGCCACCGCGCCCGGCCTTTGCTATTCATCTATAACAGTGTCTTTTCTAATCTTCGTTATGGGCTTTCTTTCAACCCATGAGGTTTTTGTTGTTTGTTTTTTGGGGGGAATGGGAATGATTGGATAGGGAAACACCAGATAAATGGCATAATTATAATCCTTGCTTCATGAGACAGTATAGTTGATTTATACAAATCCCTTTCTTCATGCATTTATTAAGATGAAATTTACATAGCACATGAATCATTTTAAACTGAACAGTTCAGTGGCATTTAGTGCATTTGCAATGTTGTACAACCACGACTGTAGTTCCAAAACATTTTCACCACTGCAAAATAAAACTCTGTACCCATTAAACAGTTTCTTCCTGTGCCTTCACCCTGCAGCCCCCAGCAACTATAAATATACATTTTATTTTTATAGGTTTACCTCTTCTGGATATTTCATACAGGTGGAATCATAAAATGTGTGAACTTTCTGTCTGGCTTCTTATACTGAGCATAATGCTTTCAGGGTTCATTTACATGTAGCACTATTTGTCAGTGCTGTATTCCTTTTCGTGGCTGAGTAGTATTCCACTGTATGGATGGACAATTTGTTATTGGACATATGGGATGTTTCTATGGCTTTTTTTTTTTTTTTTTCCAGACAGGGTCTCACTCTGTTGCTCAGGCTGGAGTACAGTGGCATGATCATAGCCCACAGTAATCTTGTACTCCTGGGCTCAGGCAATCCTCCCACTCATCTTCCTGAAGTAGCTGGGAGTATACGTGCATGCCACCACACCCTGCTGATTTTTCTATTTTTTGCAGAGACTATGTCTCACTATGTTGTCCAGGCTGGTCTCGAACTCCTGGGCTCAAGCAGTCCTCCCGCTTGGACCTCCCAAAGTGTTGGGATTACAGCAGGGAACCATTGTAACAAGTTGTTTCTACCTTTATTGTGACTAGTGCTGCTATGAACATTCATGTGTAGATACTTGAGTACCTGCTTCCATTTCTTTTGGGTCTATTCCTAGGTGGATTGCTGGATATTTATTCTGTTTTTTGGACCATTTTCATATATTTTACATTCCAGCAATGACAGTTGTTTATTTTTTTCATCCTTGTAATTTTTTTTTTTTGAGACAGAGTTTCGCTTTTGTTACCCAGGCTGGAGTGCAGTGGTGTGATCTTGGCTCACTGCAATCTCTGCCTCCCAGGTTCAAGCGATTCTCCTGCCTCAGTCTCCTGAGTACCTGGGATTACAGGCATGCACCACCATGCCGGCTAATTTTGTATTTTTAGGAGAGATGGGGTGTCTCCATGTTGGTCAGGCTGGTCTCGAACTCAGTACCTCAGGTGATCCACCCACCTCGGCCTCCCAAAGTTCTGGGATTATAGGCACGAGCCACTGCAGCTGGTCAACACTTCTTTTATTATACCCACTCTTGTGGATGTAAAGTGGTTTTGATTTGCATTTTCCTAACAACTAATGATGTTGAATATCTTTTCATGTGCTTGTTGGCCATTTCTTTTTGGGAATTTTTTTCTTTTTCTTTTTTAGACAGAGTCTTGCTCTTGTTGCCCAGGCTGAAGTGCAGTGGCGCGATCTCGGCTCACTGCAACCTCTGCCTCCCGGGTTCAAGCGATTCTTCTGCCTGAGCCACCTCCCGAGTAGCTGGGGCTACAGGCACATGCCACTATGCCGGGCTAGTTTTTGTATTTTTAGTAGAGATGGGGTTTCACCATGTTGGCCTCGAACTCCTGACGTCGTGATCCACCCACCTCAGCCTCCCAAAGTGCTGGGATTATAAGTGTGAGTCACCACACTCAGCCAAGAAATTTCTATTCAAGTCCTTTGTCTGTTTTTTTCTTTTCTTGTGGAGACAGGAGTCTTGCTATATTTCCCAGGCTGGTCTTGAATTCCTGGACTCAATTGATTCTCTTGCCGAAGCCCCCAAAGTGTTGGGATTACAGGGGTGAGCCACCACACCTGGTCTCTTTGCCCATTTTTTTTGAGATGGAGTCTGGCTCTGTTGCCCAGGCTGGAGTGCAGTGGCATGATCTTGACTTACTGCAACCTCCGTCTCCCAGGTTCAAGTGATTCTCCCACCTCAGCCTCCCGAGTAGCTGGGATTACAGGCGCCCCCTACCACGCTGGCTACTTTTTGTATTTTTGGTAGAGATGGGGTTTCGCCATGTTGGCCAGGCTGGTCTCTGACTCCTGACCTCAGGTGACCTGCCTGCCTTGGCCTCCAAAGTGCTAGGATTACAGACATGAGCTACCATGCCAGGCCACCCATTTTTTAAATTAGGATTTTTGTTGTTGAGTTGTAAGACATATATATAATATAATAATAATATAATATATATATATTTCCTGGATTCTAGAACTTCTTCAGATATATATCGTATGCAAATATTTTCTTTCATTTTGTAGCTTGTCATGTCCCTTTAAAAATTGTATTTAATAATGAGTGTGTCACTTCACTTCAAAAACTTCACCTCTCTCACACCTGTAATCCCAGCACTTTGGGAGGCCGAAGCAGGTGGATCACCTGAGGTCAGGAGTTCGAGACCAGCCTGACCAATATGACAGAACCACCTCTCTAGCTGGGCGCGGTGGCACGCACCTGTAGTCCCAGCTACTCAGGAGGCTGAGGCAGGAGAATCACTTGAACCCGGGAGGCGGAGGTTGCAGCGAGCCGAGATGGCACCAATGCATTCCAGCCTGGGTGACAGAGGAGAGACTCCGTCTCAAAAAACAAACAAAACTTAACTTCACTTCAAAAACTAGAACAGTGATAGTAATTGATACCTATCTGAATCCCACACCCTTACCTTCCCAGATCAAAGGTAATTTACTAATTTGAACTTTGTGTTTATATTTTATTATAGTTCTACGAGCTAGGTATTCATGCCTATACATTATATCATTTGGGTTGTTTTTTTTTTTTTTTTTTTTTTTTTTTTTTTTTTTTTTTTTTTTTTTTTTTTTTTTTTTTGAGACAGAGTCTCGCTCTGCAGCCCAGGCTGGAGTGCAGTGGCCCGATCTCAGCTCACTGCAAGCTCCGCCTCCCGGGTTTATGCCATTCTTCTGCCTCAGCCTCCTGTGTAGCTGGGACTACAGGCGCCCGCCACCTCGCCCGGCTAGTTTTTTTGTATTTTTTTTTTAGTAGAGACAGGGTTTCACCGTGTTAGCCAGGATGGTCTCGATCTCCTGACCTCGTGATCCGCCCGTCTCGCCTCCCAAAGTGCTGGGATTACAGGCTTGAGCCACCGCGCCCGGCCCATTTGGGTTGTTTTTGAGCTTTATAAAAGATCTATTGTACACAGGGCTGAATGGTTTTCCAGTGTTGGTAACGATTTATACTCCCCCGATAATGTATGTGAGACTACTGACCCCCCACATTCTCCCCAACACTTTGTTGTCCACTTTCTTTTTTTTTTTTTTTTTGCTTGTTTTGAGGCGGAGTTTCGCTCTGTCTCCCAGGCTGGAGTGCAGTGGCCGGATCTCAGCTCACTGCAGCTCCGCCTCCCGGTTTACGCATTCCTGCTCAGCCTCCGGTAGCTGGACTACAGGCCCCCACCCCCGCTAGTTTTTTTTTGTATTTTTAGTAGAGACGGGGTTTCACCATGTTAGCCAGGATGGTCTCGATCTCCTGACCTCGTGATCCGCCTGTCTCGGCCTCCCAAAGTGCTGGGATTACAGGCTTGAGCCACCGCGCCCGGCCTCCACTTTCTTTTTCTGTTTTTGTTTGCTTGTTTTGAGACGGAGTTTCGCTCTGTCACCCAGGCTGGAGTGCAGTTGAGCAGAGATCTCAGCTCACTGCAAGCTCCGCCTCCCGGGTTTACGCCATTCTCCTGCCTCAGCCTCCTGAGTAACTGGGACTACAGGCGCCTGTCACCACGCCCAGCTAATTTTTTGTATTTTAGTAGAGATGGGGTTTTACTGTGTTAGGATGGTCTCGATCTCGTGACCTCGTGATTCACCCGCCTCGGCCTCCCAAAGTGCTGGGATTACAGGCGTGAGCCACTGCACCCAGATTTTGTTTTGAGATGGAGTGTCGCCCTGTTGACCAGGCTGGAGTGCAGTGGCGCGATCTTGGCTCACTGCAACCTCTACCTCCCGGGTTCAAGCGATTCTCCTGCCTCAGCCTCCCAGGTAATTGTGATTACAGGTGTGCATCACCCTGCCCAGCTAGTTTTTGTATTTTTAGTAGAGATGGGGTTTTACCATGTTGCCCAGGCTGGTCTTGAACTCCTGACCTCAAGTGATCTGCCTGCCTCAGCCTCCCAAAGTGACGGGATTCCAGGTGTGAGCCACCAGGCCTGGCCTCCGTTTCTTTATTTTTGGAGCTCTTGAAGAGACAGTGACCTCCCCCAGGCTAACCCTTGGGAAGCCTGTGGGATTTTACCCCACTCCCTCCACTATCCCAAGGGAGGCTCCAGGGACCACGAAGATGGGAAATCTACTGGACTTAAGGACTTCGGAGACAGGCCTGGTCCACGACCTCCGTGTGAGCTTGGGCAAAGGACGTGACCTTTCAGAGCTAGTCTGTAAGTCTTTGAGGGGCTGACCCAAGGGTACCCTAAGTGTGGAGGGGAGGGGCTTGTTTGAGTCTCTGGCTGGTGAGTCAGGGGCTCATCTGGGAACAGCATGGGGAGGGGTTGGTCTCTGGGCTCTGTTCCTATCTGGGGCCCCTGGGGCCCTGCATCCTTGGGTGGCAGTGAGTATCCCGTCAGTGGGGTATGTAAGTACAGAGGCCTGGCTCCCTCGGGAGTCTCTGGGGATGAAGAAGGAGCTTTGATAGGGACCCAACTTCTCAGGCAGAAAATTTGGCTCTGTTTATATTTTAATCGGACCCTTTTCAGGCTGGGGCTCCCCCTAGTCCCCAGGCTACAGCCTGGAGGTGTCTCTGGCCAGCCACAACATCCAGCTGCTGGCTCTCGGCTCTGTCCATTTGCCCAGAGGGAAGAAGGGCGGGTGGGCAGAAGGAAGGGGCTGGAGACAGATCATCAACCCTCCCGGCCCACCCCGGGTGGGGCCCTCCCTGTCTCCGGAAAGGTGGCCCAGGGTCCTCCAGTCCAGTCACCCCAGAAATATCCAAGGCGTTGGGGGCAGCCCTTTACGGCCAGCCCTGCCTGGCTATGTGGCCGTTGTGTGCCTAGTTAGACGCCCGGCCACTCGGCTCCGAAGGCCATCAGTGGGGGCTGGCCTCGGCCCTCGAGCTGCCCCATTCTTTAGCTGCAGAGGTTCCTGGGCTCCCGCCTCCTCCTCCTCACTGGAGTCTGATTCTTCCACATCACTACGAATGTCCTTCTCCATCTGGGGAACAGAGAGAGGGATGGAGCTGGCAGCAAGGAGGTAGGAGGAGCTTGGGGCTGGGGCCCCTGGGGAGGTCCAGCCATACCTGACCCTTCTTTATGAAGCTACAGAGCATGCGCAGAATGAGGCAAGACCAAAACACGTGCAGCAGCTGCAGCAGCATCAGAAGCCCGTTGCAGAAGTAGTAGCCGAAGAAAGGGCCCCTGTTGCCGAGGGACTCGTAGTATGTGGTGTAAAGGATCCTACAGCGGGAGGGAGAGGAGGAGGCCGGGACTTGACCAGCTGCTGTAGCCCCTAGTCCTAGGAATTTCTAACTGGCATGGCCTTCCCTGCTCCATAACCTTCTATGGCTCCCTAGTGCCCCCCACCCCATCATACCTACACTTTTTTTTTTTTTTTTTTTTGAGACGGAGTCTCGCTCTGTCGCCCAGGCTGGAGTGCAGTGGCACGATCTGGACTCACTGCAAGCTCCACTTCCTGGGTTCATGGCATTCTCCTGCCCCAACCTCCCGAGTAGCTGGGACTACAGGAACCCGCCACCACGCCGGTCTAATTTTTTTGTATTTTTAGTAGAGATGGGGTTTCACTGTGTTAGCCAGGATGGTCTCCATCTCCTGACCTCGTGATCCGCCCGCCTCGGCCTCCCAAAGTGCTGGGATTACAGGCGTGAGCCACCGCGCCCGGCCCATACCTACACTCGAGCTGGGTACGCGAGGCCCCCTCTCGCTTGTACTAAATGAGCAGAACACACATGAGCTCCCTGACTGGCCGTTCATGAACCCCACCCAGGCGGGTACTTATGATCCCAGCTGCTTTCCTGGGTGGGACTCTGACACCTTCTCTCTACTCCTCAGAGCCCCATCACCTCCCCCTCATCAGCAGGTGACTGCCTACTCACCTCAGGGGGGAGGGACTTCATGTCTCAGGAAGGCAAGCGGTGGGGACTCATCTCCCAAGGAGTATAAAAAGGGAGGGGCCTCACCTCCAGGAAGGCAGAGAGGGTGGGGCCTCATCTCCCAGGGAGCCAGACAGGGGCGGGGCTTTGTCTCCCAGGGAGGCTGGGAGGGGCGGGGCTTCATTTTCACTGTGCAACCCAAGCCAGTAGGAAAGAATGTTCCCCAGCACCGCTCCTCCCCTCAAACTCCTCCTTGCTTGTTGCCTGGGACACTGTGCTGGAGCCCAACTCCCACCACACCCTCTCTCTTCTCAAACTCAGCTCTGGTTCTTTTGTTGTTTTGAGGCGGAATCTCACTCTGTCCCCCAAGGCTGGAGTGCAGTGGCGCGATCTCAGCTCTCTGCAACCTCCGCTTCCCGGGTTCCAGCGATTCTCCTGCCTCAGCCGCTCAAGTAGCTGGGATTATAGGCGCCTGCCACCACGCCCAGGTAATTTTTGTATTTTTAATAGGTTGTTTTTGCCATGTTGGCCAGGCTGGTCTCGAACTCCTGACCTCAAGTGATCTGTCCGCCTCAGCCTCCCAAAGTGCTGGGATTAGAGGTGTGAGCCACCGCACCTGGCCTTCCTGCTGGTTCCTTTATCATCAGTGCCAACCCCGCTGTTATTTCACACAAGAAAGGAAAAACCAAAAAACTCACTCTTGACTCTACTCTGCCCCTCTGGGTACCAACTTTTTTCTTTTCCCTGTAGGCTTATTTATTTTTCTTTGGAACTCCTTCAAGGTACTGGCTGGGCTGGGTACGGTGGCTAATGCCTATAATCCCAGCACTTTGGAGGTGGAGGTGGGTGGACCACGAGGTCAGGAGTTCGAGCCCAGCCTGGCCAACATGGTGAAACCCCTATCTCTAAAACAAAAACAAACAAAAAAAAATTAGCCAAGTGTGGTGGTGCCTGCCTGTAATTCCAGCTACTCAGGAGGCTGAGGCAGGAGAATCGCTTGAACCCGGGAGGCAGAGGTTGTGGTGAGCCGAGATCACACCATTACATTCCAGTCTGGGTGACAGAGCCAGACTCCATCGCAAAAAAAAAAAAAGAGTACTGGCTGTAGCTGCTGTGTTTCTCCTACCCCGTAATCAGCTGTAGGGTTACCAGCGACCTTGCCTTCCTCACTCCACAGTGTTCAGCCCTGCATCGCCACCAACCAGTACAACAGGTTGCCAGCGGCCTTCCCTCCTCCCTGGGCCCCTTCCCTCTCTGGCTCCCCCCACCCCACCATCTCCCCATCTCAGTCACTTCTGCCTAATCTCCTCAGGCCTTGAACCCAAGACAGGTGGGAGCCATGGAGGGTTGTAGCCAGACGAGGGATATGATCTGACTCATAAGCTCCATGGGCCCTGTTCTTCCTCTCGACCTGCAAACATCAGGGAACCCGAGGACTGAGCTTCTCTGTCCACACCTGGTCCGTAGGTGATGCTATCCAGGCTGTTGGCTGAAAATACCAGCCATGCACTGGCAACTCCTACATTACCTTTCCCCAGAAGCCCGGACTGGCATGCCCACTGCCTTCTCCATGTCTCCTCTGAGGCCACAGACCCCTCAAACCCAGCAGGGCTGAGCTCCTGCTGCCTCAAGCAGTTCCTTCTGTGACTGTTCCTATCTCCTGATCCCAGAGGCATCCCCTTGAGTCTGCTCACTTATCTCGCCTACCCTGGGTCCTCTCGCTCCTGCCCACACATCCCATGTTTCCCCTGCAGCTGCTAGAGGGCATCCAGAACACCTAGGTCAGATCGAATCCCTCCTCTGCTTATAACCTCCGTGACTCCCATCTCCCTCGGGGTCAAGGCCAAAGTCTTCCCCACAGCCCTCAAGGACCTGCACGGCCTACCCCATTCCCTCCCTGCCCTCCCCCTCATCCACTCTGCTCCAGCCACACAGGCCTCCTTGCTGCTGTTCCTCTAACCTGCCAGGCATGGTCTTGCCTCAGGGCATTTGCACATGCTGTTCTGACTGGAATGGTCTTCCCCTCTGATCAACGTGGTTCTGTCCCTTACCTCCCTCCCACCTCTTTATACAAACGCTGCCAGCCAGGCATTCCCTGCCACTCTAATTCCATCTACCCACCCCTCCCATACTTCCTGCTCCCTTCCCGATATATATATATTTTTAATTTATGTAGTGATGGAGTCTTGCTCTGTCACCCAGGCTTGAGTGCAGTGGTGTGATCTCGGCTCACTGCAACCTCCGCCTCCTGGGTTCAAGTGATTCTCCTGCCTCAGCCTCCTGAGTAGCTGGGATTACAGGTGCCTGCCACTACGCCCAGTATTAACTTGTGTTTTTAGTAGAGATGGGGTTTCTCTATGTTGGCCAGGGTGGTCTCGAACTCCTGACCTCAGGTGATCCAGCCACCTCGGACTCCCAAAGTGCTGGGATTACAGGTGTGAGCCATCACACCTGGCCAATTTATTTTATTTTTTTAAGATGAAGTCTCCCTCTGTCACCCAGGCTAGAGTGTAGTGATACAATCTCAATCCACTGTAGCCTCTGCGTCCTGGGTTTAAGTGATCCTCCTGCCTCAGCCTCCTGAGTAGCTGGGATTACAGGCATGCACCATCACGTTTGGCTAATTTTTGTATTTTTAGTAGAGAAAGGGTTTCATCATGTTGGCCAGGCTGGTCTTGAACTCCTGACCTCAAGTGATCTGCCCGCCTCAGCCTCCCAAAGTGCTGGGATTACAGGTGTGAGCTACCATGCCTGGCCCTCCAACTTTATTGTTAGTAAATCTCTCCTTTGCATGCTGTGTAGTTCACCTGGCTGCCTCATTTACCATCCACTCCACCCATGAAGTGTCTGCTCACGAGGGACAGGGATCTTTGAACTGTGGCCTCTGCTGTGTTCCCAGCACACTCAAGAGACCCCATAAATATTTGCTGGGCAGACTTTGGTGCGCTGGCAACCCTGACCCATCCTCCCACTCCATGGTCCAGGCACGCTGAGTAATTCTAATTCTCTGTCTCACCTCTGCACCTTTGCATATGCTGTGCCCTGTGCCTGGCATGCCCTTCCCTGCCTTCTCCTGGAACTCTCCCAGCCGAGATCCCCGGCTCCTTAGGGCAGGGTACCAATGGTGAGGCAGTCCTGGAATCTGAGACATGCCCTCCCACCTCCCTGACCCCCATGGGAGGGCTGACTCACTGGGTAGGGAAGAGGACCAGTCGGGTGTAGAAGAAGACCAAGGAGAAGATGAGGAAGAGAGCGTCACACACGTGCTGATACTGCGTGTAGTTGACCATCTTACAGGCCTGAGAAGGGCAGCAAGGAGAAATGGGCTCAGGACCAGGAGCCTGGCCTCAAGGAGAAGGTGCTATGGGATGGGAACAGGTGAGTTGGGGTGGGGCCTTGATTCCAGGAACTACCTACATTTCCAGGAAAGGTAAAGAGTGTGAATATAGGCTGGGCACGGTGGCTCACGCCTGTAATCCCAGCACTTTGGGAGGCCGAGGTGGCGGATCACCTGAGGTCAAGAGTTCGAGACCAGCCTGGCCAACATGGTGAAATCCCATCTCTACTAAAAATACAAAAATTAGCTGGGCGTGGTGGCGGGCACCTGTAATCCCAGCTACTTGGGAAGCTGAGGCAGGAGGATCGCTTGAACCTGGGAGGCAGAGGTTGTAGTGAGCAGAGATTGCACCATTGCACTCCACTCTGGGAGACAGCGCAAGACTCCATCTCAAAAAAAAAGTGAATACATGCATGCATGCACGCACATGTGTATAGCTGTATCCTCCAAGAAGGGAGGCTGAGAGGGGCGGGGCTTTATCTCCCAGGAAGACAGAGGGGGCAGGACCTCATCTCCCAAGGAAGCTGTGAAGGTGGTGGGGGGGGCGCCTCTGCCCAAGGAAGCTAGGAGGGGTGGGGCTTCATCACCCAGGAAGATAGAGGGGGGTGGGGTCTTATCAGCCTGGAAGACAGAGGGGACAGGGCCTTATTACCCGAGGAGGCCAGGAGGGTGGGCTCCATTTCCCAGGAAGGTTGGGAGGAATGGGACCTCATCTCTAGGGGCACTTGGGAGGGCTGGGTACAGCAGCTGGGAAGGGTCAGGCAGGGGCCAGGCCCACCTCCAGCAGGTAGTCGGCGGAATCGTGTAACAGCAGCACCAGAGAGCCGATGCGCAGCAGGTTGGCGCTGTAGGAGAAGGTCATCAGGATGACCACCACGAAGTGATGTATCACCTGCTCCTTGAAATCCTGCAGGAGACAGTGGGTCCCAGTGGGGATGAGGCTTGATGCTGGAAGGTGCCCCACCCTATGGGCCAAGAAGTGCGTCCTTTCAAGGGGTTTGTGTGGCTTCTGGGCCCATGGCCTCTATACCTCCTGCAAGAGGCACCAGGGAGCTCTCAAGGTACGGCTGTGCGGCTGCCCTACCACCCAGCTCCCTATCCGGAGATGGGGTCTTCCAGACTCTTGTGTGGCCTCACCTTGCGCTTGACATCAAAGGGCAGCCTGATTAGCAGTGAGAGGTAGAAAGCCAGCTCCAAGAGGTACCACCAGTACAGGGATGGCTTCAGGGTCTACAGCAGGGCAAGACAAGGTTAGCTGTGGGGAGCGAAGGCTCCAGTCGGGCAGGGGTATGGCTCAGGGCCCACTCCCTTTGCTCAAAACCAGGATACTTGAATCCCAATGAGTGAGCTCCCCATCCCTGGAGGTAATCAAGGGCAGTGGTTTGGTGGAAGCAGCTGCTTGGAGTTTCGTAGTCCCTCTCTATTCCCCAGAGGAATGAAAGATACAGAGTAGGACTCGGTGGGGAATGATGGTGGTGTCAGGGCTCGGGTCCCATGTCCATGGCTGCAGCAACTGTCATCATCACCCTGGCCTCCAAGCATTTGCGTGTGCGCAATATTCTCATTCATTCCCCCTCCCCCCCCGTCTTCTCTCCCAGCTGGCTCTCCTCTCTCTCCCCCTCCCCCCTCTGCCACTCACCTGGTTTGGGTAATTTTCCCAGCACATTACTGGGGCCCACAGCCACGATTCCTGCAGGGAAACGGGTGTCAGGCTGTGCGGAGGTGAGAATCCAGCTTCCCACCCTGGGGCTGTGGCCTCTTTGGGGGCTCTTTCCATGGTCTCATAGATGCTGCCTTCACCCAGCCCTGCTTTTTCCTGCCTCTCAATCTCCACTGGGGAGCTCATTCACTGCAGAACCCTAAACTTCTGGTGCATGGCAGATCCTAAGTACCTGTTGCGTGAATTCACCACCACCTGGCCCAGCTCGCTCTCTCCTCAGCTGCACTTTTTCCTCTCTGGCTGCACCCCTCCACACACTCCCTCCCACCAGATCTGGGCCTGGGGCATAGGAGGCATTTCTGGGACAGGAGGACGGGGCAGGCGAGCAGTCAGCCACACTTAGGTACACTCACGTGGTACAGGACTGAGAGACCACCCACGAAGGAGGACAGGTAGAAAAGAAATCTCCAGCTGTGGATGGGGAGGGAGCTGTGAAAACAGGAGACACCCCCCTGCTGCCTTGCACCCCAGAAGTCCCATCCAGCCCCATCCTGGGCTTACCTGGCCTCACAGAACTTCTTGGTCAGCTGCGGTCGATCCTGCTTCCGGCGTCTCCGGAACCATCGCTGGGTCTGCCGCAGTGTGAGGCCACACCGGGCGGCCAGGAGGGACAGCTGGGGCTGGGGGGGTGATGGGGACAAGGGTCACAGATGAGTCCTCATTTCCCAGGGAGGCTAGGAGGGCGGGGCTCATTTCCCAAGGAATCGGGGAGGAAGAGTGGAAAGTGGGGGCTTCCCTCATGTCCCCAGACAGGACTTGGCTCTGCCGTCTCCTCCACTGCAGCCCCACGTCTTGCCTACAAGGTGACCATGTCTATATGGAGAGGCAGTGTTGGAGGTCGTAGTGTTGGGGGTCCCAGCGTGGGGGCCTGCAGAATACTTGGGCCTTCACGGAAGCAAATGCTGTTTATAGGGCAGGCAGGTCGCTGATGGGGATGGAATTAAGAGAGAGGCTGGTGTGCATTCTCCTCTACCCCCAGCTAGGCTTCCCTGCGTCCCTCCAGAATGGTCACTTCCCACCTCCAACCTAGGCAGGCAGTTGAGACCTTGCCCCAGCCTCAAGCCCTACCTGAAGAGGGAAATTGACAAGTAGAGGGGGAGTCACGTGGCTTCTAGCTCTGTGGAAACCGCCCTGTTGCCCCCAGGGCATGTGGTTTTCACCATTCCCCACCCCACTCAGGATGCATCCACGTCTCCACAGTGCAGAGCCTGTCCAGCTGGCAGCCACACCAGAGATGGGAATGGAGGGAGGGTCACAGGACTGCTTCTGTTACTCCATCTCCTACCAGCTCAGATCTTCCATTCCTCCCCCAGAATAGGAGAGCATGCAACTACTTTCACTGTCCTACAATCTGTCCATTGTGCAACTATGCCCACTGAGGCCCAGGGAGGCTGGGAGGGGCGGGGCCCCATCTCCCAGGGAGGCTGGGAGGGCGTGGGTCCTCATTTCCCAGGGAGGCTGGAGGGGCGGGGCGCCATCTTCCAGGGAGGCTGGGAGGGGCGGGGCCTCCATCTTCCAGGGAGGCTGGAAGGAGCGGGACCCCATCTTCCAGGGAGGTTGCAGGGGTGGGGCCCATTTCCCAGGGAGGCTGGAGGGGTGGGGCCCATTTCCCAGTAAGACTGGTATGGATGGGGCTCCATCTCAGGGAGGCTGGAGGGGGTGGGTCCTCATTTCCCAGGGAGGCTGGAGGGGCGGGGCGCCATCTCCCAGGGAGGCTGGAGGGGCAGGCCTCCATCTTCCAGGGAGGCTGGGAGGGGCGGGGCCTCCATCTTCCAGGGAGGCTGGAAGGAGCGGGACCCCATCTTCAAGGGAGGTTGGAGGGGTGGGGCCCATTTCCCAGGGAGGCTGGAGGGGCGGGGCTCTATCTCCCAGGGATGCTGGGAGGGGTGGGGCCCATTTCCTGGTAAGACTGGTATGGATGGGGCTCCATCTCTCAGGGAGGCTGGAGGGGGTGGGTCCTCATTTCCCAGGGAGGCTGGAGCGGGTGGGTCCTCATTTCCCAGGGAGGCTAGCGGGGCAGGGCTCATTTCCCAAGGAATCGGGGATGAAGAGTGGAAAGTGGGGGCATTGCGGGGGTGTCTGAAGCTACCTTGGCTTCTCCTGCCTCAACAAATGGGCCACACACCACCCGCAGGCCCCACCCCCAGGGCAGTAGTGCCGGTCGCAGGGCACGGTGGGCGGGGGGGGGGCTCTCACCTCCTTGGGCCTGTGCCCTTCCGTGAGGAAGTGTTTCTCCAGCGTGGCATTGGGCTTCACCTGCCTCCTGGTCTGATCCCTCACACCCAGCCACTGGCTCAGGGGCAGGCCAATGAATCTGGTGCAAGGGAGACACAGCCCATCGGCCCAGGTGAAGAGACAGGACTGACTGCATGTGCGGGGGCAGACATGCTATCGGTGGGTAAACCAAGTCTCAGAGGGGCACAGAGGGCACAGCCGGCACATGGCAGGGTGTGTAAGACTTGGGGTCTGTCTTCTCCATCTGCTCAGAGGGTTTGGAGGCCCAGAGTCAGAAAGGCTCGTGAGGCAGGAGTCGATTTTCCACTTATTCCTGGCCTCATCCCCTGGGGCCCTGGAGGGGTAGCCTGGCTGCTGCGTTAGACCAAACATAAGAAAGGCAGCTGGCTCACGTGAGGTCAGAAGTTCGAGACCAGTGTAACCAATATGGTGAAACCTTGTCTCTACTAAAAATACAAAATCATCTGGGTGTGGTGGCGTGTGCCTGTAATCCCAGCTATGCGGGAGGCTGACGCAGGAGAATTAATTGAACCTGGAGGTGGAGGTTGCAGTGAGCCAGGATGGCGTCACAGCCTGGGCGACAGAGCGAGTCTCCATCTCAAAAAAAAAAAAAAGGCACTTGGACCTGTGATGTGTCTGCTGGGTGAGGGTGTGCAGACCAGCTCTTGGGGGTACACAGGTACCCTTGCCCAATTCCAAACCAGGGATAAGAGTCTCTTCACTGCCTGTCTCACTGTGGCCTGGGTCCTGGCCTGACCCCCCGCCAGGCTAAGGGCTCCCCACGGGCAGGGGCAGGGGCTGTTCCCACTCCAAACCCCTCCTCCCAGCATCCCCCTTCCAGGGTAAAGACTTGGAGATCAGGGACCCTGGTCAACCAACATATTGCCCACAAGAGGGCGCGCCAACACCACAGATGGGGACCAAATTTTATATCCACCATCCATCCCAACGTCATCCCTCATTTGGGGAAAGGCTCAGAGCCGCCTAGCAAGGAACTCATTGCAGACTAAATCATGATGCGGAGAGAAAGGGCAGATACTTAATGAGCGCTTATCTGCTAAGCATGGGGCCAAGTCCATGTTATACACTGGCTCACCTAACCCTAACTTAGTCCCCATTGTAATGGGTAAACTGAGGCTCAGAGACACGCCCGAGGTGACACTGTGGGCAGGCGGAAGACCTGAAATTTGAACTCAGGATTCTAGTTTTTGTTTTAAGAGGCAGGGTCTCCTTTTGGAGGTGGAGGGTGGGAGGATCGCTTGAACTCAGGAGTTCAAGACCAGCCTGGGTAACATGGTGAGACCTCATCTGTACTAAAAAAAAGTTAGCTGAGTTGTGGTGTCACTTGCCTGTAATCCCAGCACTTTGGGAGGCCAAGGCAGGCAGATCACCTGATGTCAGGAGTTTGAGACCACCCTGGCCAACATGGCAAAACCCCATTTCTACTAAAAATACAAAAATTAGGTATGGTGGCACATGCCTGTAATCCCAGTTACTTGTGAGGCTGAGGTCAGAGAATCGCTTGAACCCAGGAGGCAGAGGTTGCAGTGAACTGAGATTGTGCCACTGCACTCCAGCCAAGGTGAAAGAGCTCTGTCTCAAAAAAAATTAGCCAGGCGTGGTGGCACATGCCTGTAGTCCCAGCTACTGGTGGGGCTGAGGCTTTTTCTTTTGAGATGGAGTTTCCCTCTTGTCGCCCAGGCTGGAGTGCAGTGGCATGAATGATCTCGGCTCAATGCAACCTCTGTCTCCTGGGTTCAAGCAATCCTCCTGCCTCAGCCTCCTGGGTAGCTGGGACTACAGGCGTGCACCACCACACCCAGCTAATTTTTTGTACTTTTAGTAGAGACCCGGTTTCACCATGCTGGTTGGGCTGGTCTCGAACTCCTGACCTTGTGATCTGCCTGCTCCAGCCTCCTGAAGTGTTGGGATTATAGATGTGAGCCACTGTACCCAGCCTAATTTTTATATATATATATATTTTTTTTTTTTGAGATGGAGTCTCGGTCTGTCACCCAGGCTGGAGTGCAGTGGCTGGATCTCAGCTCCCTGCAAGCTCTGCTTCCCGGGTTTACGCCATTCTCCTGCCTCCGCCTCCCAAGTAGTTGGGACTACAGGCGCCCGCCACCTCGCCTGGCTAGTTTTTTGTATTTTTTTTTTTTTTTTTTTAGTAGAGATGGGGTTTCACCGTGTTAGCCAGGATGGTCTCGATCTCCTGACCTCGTGATGCGCCCATCTCAGCCTCCCAAAGTGCTGGGATTACAGGCTTGAGCCACTGCACCCGGCCTGTATTTTTTTTTAAATCGAGACAAGGTTTCACCATGTTGCCCAGTCTGGTCTTGAACAACTGGACTCAAGCGATCCACCCGCCTCAGCCTCCCAAATTGCTGACATTACGGGCATCAGCTACCATGCCTGGCCTAGATTCAATTTTTTTTTTTTTAAAGGGCTAAAACCCCTGCATTTGAAACTGGAAAACCCTCCGCCCACCCCACTGTCCTTCACAGAGGCCCTGGGATGCCTTTGGGATGAGATAACACCCCCAGCTCAAATTTGCCGTTTTTTTTAAGGTGGAGTCTCACTCTGTTGCCCAGGCTGAAGTGCAGTGGCATGATCTTGGCTCACTGCAACCTCCGCCTCCCAGGTTCAGGCGATTCTCCTGCCTCAGCCTCCCGAGTAGCTGGGATTACAGGTGTGCACTCAGCTAATTTTTGTATTTTTAGCACAGACGGGGTTTCACCATGTTGGCCAGGCTGGTCTTGAACTCCTGACTTGAAGTGATCCGCCCGCCTCAGCCTCTCAAAGTGTTGGGATTACAGGCGTGAGCCACGGTGCCCGGCCTCCCATCCCTGTTTTATGAAGATGCTGGCACACCCAGCCCTGAACTGCAGGCAGTGTTCCTATAAACCAGCAATCAGAGGCCAGAATTGTGGGTGTTGGGGGCTAGGGGCAGGCTGGAGCTGGGAAAAGCACTTTGGTGCAAAGCCAGCTTCCACTCGGGACATGCTGCAATGGCAAATTGCACACAGGGCACGAGCACATACTGGCGTGACTGTGGGGGCGATGGGTTGCGGCAGGGCAGACACTCACCTCTCAAAGGCGAGGCGCATGGCCAGGAGGACCAGTGCCAGGGGTAGGGCTGCCAGCATGTCCTGGGGGTGGGGGTAGACACGGCCATCCCGGTCTTCCAGCTCTGCCCATGTGACATTGGGTGGTAACCAGAACCTGTGCTGCCAAAGCCACTCGTTGAAACTGGACAGCATTCTGTGGACACAGGTTCCAGTTAGCTGGGAGGTCTGCAAGCAGAATGGGTGGGGCAAGTGGGGCGTGAGGCTGGAGCCTCACAACTCCTACTTGGGCCGTTATCAGCGCAGCTGACAACCAGGAGGCGGGACTGGAAGATGGAACTCCCCTTGCCTGGGAGTTTGGAACTATCTGGCTCCAGAAGAGTGGGGCTTTAGCCACCACTCCATTCTCATCACCCCTGCCCTCCCTTGCCTGGTCAGTGTTAAAGGCAGAGTTGGGTTGTGTGTCCTCAGGCAAATGACTTGACCCCTCAGAACCTCAAGTTCATCTGTAAAACACAGTAGTAGGCCGGGCGCAGTTGCTCACACCTGTAATCCCAGCACTTTGGGAGGCCAAGGCAGGTGGGTCACGAGGCCAGGAGTTCAAGACCAGCCTGACCAATGTGGCGAAACCCTGTCTCTACTAAAAATACAAAAATGAGCTGGGCGTGGTGGCGGGCACCTGTAGTCCCAGCTACTCAGGAGGCTGAGGCAGGAGAATCACTTGAAACTGGGAGGAGGAGGTTGCAGTGAGCCGAGATCATGCCACTGCACTCCAGCCTGGGCAACAGAGCAAAACTCTGTCTCAAAAAAAACAAAAACAAAAACAAACTTGAGTCCTCAAATGTCCAGGAAGGTTTCTTTCCACTGCAGGAAGCTGCCTCTGAAGCAGCCCCCAAAGATGAAGGATTTAAAGAAATCCAGAGGCTGGGCATGGTGGCTCACTCCCAGCACTTTGGGAGGCCGAGGCAGGTGGATCACGAGGTCAGGAGTTCAAGACCAGCCTGGCCAACACGGTGAAACCCTGTCTCTATGAAAAATACAAAAGTTAGCCAGGCATAGTGGTGTGCACTTGTAGTCCCAGCTACTTGAGAGGCTGAGGCAGAGAACTGCTTGAACCCGGGAGGCGGAGGTTGCAGTGAGCCGAGATCGCGCCATTGCACTCCAGCCTAGGTGGCAGAGCAGGACTGTCTCAAAAAAAAAAAAAAATCACCCAGAGTTCCTTTCCTGGCCATCTTTGGAAGGTAGACTCCCCTCTAGCTGGGAATTTCAGGGGTCTCGCTTGCTGTCCCAGAGCCCACAAAGCAAGTGGGTAAGAGAGCCTATCGCATGACTGAGCTTGCCGGATAACGGAGTGGCGGTCAAGGTGGGGCAGCTCTAGCCAGCATGTCCCAGCCTGCCTGAGGAGCCCAAAGAGCTGCTCCCTTTCCTGAGATCTTGAGCCGAGGGTCCGGCCTACCACAGTGGTTCCCACTCAAAAGTTTGTTCATTCATTCATTTATCTGTCCACCCTCCCCCCGTCCATCCCTGTCCACCCACCCATCCATCAATCTGTTCATCCATCAAAACATCTGTCCATCCACCCATCATCCACCTATCCACTCATCCATCTATCCACTATCCATCCATCGTCCATCCATCCACCTACCCATTCATCCATCCCTCTGTCCACCCATCCAAACATCTGTCCATCCAACCGTCATCCATCCACCCGTCCAAGCATCTGTCCACCCACCCGTTCATCCATCCACCAATCCATTCATCCATCTGTTCACCCATCCAAACCACCCATCATCCATCCACCCAAACATCTATCCATCATCTATCCACCCAATTTTCCATCCACCAATCCAAAAATCTGTCCATCTACCCACCCATCTAAACATCTGTCTATCCACTCATCACTCACCTGTGTATCCTTCCACCCACCTATTCTTCTGTCCCTCTATTCTTCCATCTACCCATCTGTCCTTGCATCTGTCCATCCGTCCGTCCACCCACCCACCCACCCACCCAGGCAAGAGATGTTCTCCAACTGACTTGTACGTGCCAGGTCAGGGCTGGGCCTTGGCGACACAGCAGGGGAACAATGCCAACACATTCCTGCCCAGTTCATAGACCAACAGAGAAGGCAGCCAATAAACAAGTAAACAGATTCACAAATGAATGAAATATGAAAGTGTAACGGTGCCGAGTAGAAAACAGAGTGGCATGATTTTAAATGTGATCAAGAAGAGGCTCTCTAAGGAGGCACCATCTGAGCTGGGATTTAAAGATGAAGAGGTCAGGCCAGGCCCGGTGGCTCATGCCTGTAATCCCACACTTTGGGAGGCTGAAGCAGGTGGATCACCTGAGGTCAGGAGTTCAAGACCAGCCTGGCCCACATGGTGAAACCTCGTCTCCATTAAAAATACAAAAATAATTAGCCAGGCGTGGTGGTACGTGCCTGTAACCCCAGCTACTTGGGAGGCTGAGGCAGGAGAATCACTTGAACCTGGGAGGCAGAGGTTGCAGCGAGTCGAGATCATGTCACTGCACTCCAGACTGGGCGACAAAGTGAGACTCCATCTCGGAAAAAAAAAAAAACAAACCAAAGATGAGGAGGTCAGGCCAGGCACAGTGGCTCATACCTGTAATCCCAACACTTTGTGAGGTCGAGGCAGGTGAATTGCTTGAGCCCAGGAGTTCAAGACCAGACTGGGCAACATAGCGAGACTCTGTCTCTACAAAAAATTTAAGAAGCAGTCAGGTGTGGTGGCATGTATCTGTAGTTCTAGCTCTTCAGGAGGCTGAGGTGGGAGTCCGACTCGAGCCCAGGAGTTCGAGGCTGCAGGGAGCTATAATCACACCACTGTACTCCAACCTGGAGGACAAAGCAAGACCCTACATTTGGGAAAAACAAAAAAAAGAAGAGAAGGTTGTGGGTTTGCACACAAGAAAGTGGGGCTAGGGGAGAGGTTTTCTAGATAAATACACAGCAGGTGCAAGGGCTCTGAGGCAGGACCTTGCCTGGCATGTCGGAGGAACAGCGAGGAGGCCCGTGTGGCTGGTACAGAGTGAGCGAGGGGGGAGAGAGGGAGGAGAGGAGGGCAGGTAGGTGATGAGGGGCAGCACAGAGCCTGCAAGGCATGGGGGCCACAGGGAAGAATCTGGATTATTTCCCCCAACATTTTATTTTGAGATGAAGTCTCACTCTGCCGCCCAGTCTGGAGTGCAGTGGCGTGATCTCAGCTCACTGCAACCTCCACCTTGCAGGTTCAAGCAATTCTTGTGCCTCAGCCTCCCAAGTAGCTGGGATTACACCACCACACCTGGCTAATTTTTGTATTTTTAGTAGAGATGGGGTTTCGTTATGTTGGCCAGGCTGGTCTCAAACTCCTGACCTCAAGTAATCTGCCTGCCTCAGCCTCCCAAAGTGCTGGGATTACAGGCACGAGCCACCACGCCTGGCCTTCCCCCAACATTTTATAACAAACATTTCAAACCTACGGAAAAGTTGAAAGAATTTTACAGTGAATACCTGTATTCCCACCACTACATTCTCCCCTTTGCATTCCGTTCTATTTATTCCATCACCCATCTGCCTCTGCCTGTCCATCCCTCTACCCACCCATCAGTCTATCTGGTTATTCCCGACGTATTTCAAAGTAGGCAGCTGACCTCAGGCCACATCACCCCTACACATGTCAGCACACAGATCATTAACTAGCATTCAATATTTGCTTATGGGTTTTTCCTTTCAAGGTAAAATGTACCCAAGTGAAATGCAGGCTTTTTGTTTTAGACAGGGTCTCACTCTGTGACCCAGGCTGGAGTGCAGAGACCATGGCTCCCTGAAGCCTTGACCTCCTGGACTCAGGTGGTCTTTTCATGTCAACCCCCGCACTGCCAGGACCATAGGCACGCACCACCATGACTAGCTAATTTTTAAAATTTTTGTGTAAAGAGAGGGTCTCCCTATGTTGCCCAGGCTGGTCTCAAACTCCTGGCCAAGCGATCCTCCCACCTTGGCCTCCTGAAGTGTTGGGATTACAGGCATGAGCCACTGCACCTGGCCTGCACACATCTTAAGGGTATAGTCACTGAGTTTGGACAAAACTATATACCTGGCTAATCCAATCTCCCATCACAAATATTCCCTCTAGAAACTTCCTTCACGCCTCTTCCCAGTCAACCTCCACCACTGTCCTGTCACCCAAAGGTAACACCCATTCCATTCCAATTTTTGTTTTGTTTTGTGACAGGGTCTCACTCTGTGGCCCAGGCTGGAGTAGAGTGGTGCAATCACAGCTTACCGCAGACTTGACCTCCTGGGCTCAAGCGATCCTCCCCGCTCAGCCTCCCAAATTGCTGGGATTATAGGCATGAGCCACCTTGCCCTGACCCCCACTACCTTTTCTTTTGTCATCATAGCTTAGTTTTGTCAGTTCTTCATGACAACCTTGCCATGTTACGAAATAAAAACAGGCTGGGCACGGTGGCTCACGCCTGTAATTCCAGCACTTCAGGAGGCCAAGGTGGGTGGATCACTTGAGATCAGGAGTTTGAGACCAGCCTGGCCAGCATGGTGAAACCCCATCTCTACTAAAAATACAAAAATTAGCCAGGCATGGTGGCGGGCGCCTGTAATCCCAGCTACTCAGGAGGCTGAGACAGGAGAATCGCTTGAACCCGGGAGGCGGAGGCTGCAGTGAGCCAAGATCATGCCATTGCACTCCAGCCTGGGTGACAGAGCAAGACTCCGTCTCAAAAATAAAATAAATAAAAATAAAAATACCATAACCCCAGTGTTTAGGAGGCTGAGACAGGAGGATTGCTTGAGCCCAGGGGTTTGAGACCAGCCTGGACATCACAGTGAAACTCTGTCTCTACAAAAAATATAAAAATTAGCCAGGCATGGTGGCATGTGGCCATAATCCCAGCTACTCATGAGGCAGAGGCAGGAGGATCGCTTAAAGCCCAGGAGTTCAGGGCTGCAATGAGCTGTGATCATGCCACCTTACTCCAGCCTGAATGACAGAGTGATACCTGTCTCCAAAAACAGAGTAAATAAAAAATAAAAATATACAAATAAAATAATAGACCCAGGTGCAGTGGCTCATGCCTGTAATTCCAGCACTTTGGGAGACTGAGGCAGAAGAACTGCTTGAAGACAAGAGTTCAAGACCAGCCTGGGGGGCAGCCGGTCGTGGTGGCTCA